TCTTAAAGATTTGATTGCAGTTATCATGAATCAGAATACCAGATTGTTAAGAGGCACACTGTTCATAATTCTTTCCTGAAGAACTTAAGAAAATAATATTCAGTTATAGATAGGAAATGCAGTGCTTTTACTTGGTTTATATATATAATTAGTTATCATTCCACCAATGACAATTGATTTTCTTGTATCATTTATTTTATTGTAAAAGAAGTTTCCAATACTGACTTGAATACCTGCTTATGAGCAGAGTCAAAAGTCAGTAGAAGTAGCTCTTTAAGCAAAATCTGGGGAGTAATTAAGCTCCATTGATGTACAGTGTAGTGCTAGGTTATTGGGTATTTATTGTCAAATATTTGGAATTCTTGTAGCAATGACAATTTGTCTGCTGAACTTGCAGGGTTAGTGATCATAAAAATTGTAGTTTATTATGCAGATGATTATATTTCTGCAGGGGGCTACATCAAATGGTATTGAAAAGTATGTCTAGCATAGACTATGGATGAAGGAATGCATTGATCTGTACATGTGATGTTGCTGTGAACAGTAATAAAGGTTTTAATTAGAGGAAAACACCTTGCAATGATTGTGTTCTTGGATAGATGCCTTAAAGTCATTTTTTTTTATATATATAGCTTGGATGTTCAAAATGAGTAATGGTGTTAAATCATGTCTTTTTTAATGTCATGTGATGTACTGGCACATAATTGTTCTAGAAATTTCAGTTCCTTAGATTGTGTTGTTTGTGTAGCATTGCTTGTCAGTCGTGTTAGCATTTGCTTAATTTCACTTCTTTAAGAGCTGAACCACATAGAGAGGACTATGTTGGTTATTCAGTTAATGAGATATTGTTTGAGAGATATGATCACAATTTTGTGTTTGTGCACACTGTCAAGGAAACGGAGATGTTAATTGCACCCCAGATTTTGATTTGCGCTGTATGTTATTTTTTTATTTAGGTTTGTCTGTCTGTCTAGAAAAAAAACAAAACATAGGATATATTCAGGATGATGATATTTAAGCTACTAATTGCTGCATAGAACTAAGAATTTTGTGATAGGTTACATATAGGTAAGAATAATTGAATATTTTCATGTATATGGCTTTCTTAATTATATTGTTAATTGTAGATCTCTTAACAGATTAGTGACTCCTGTATTGAGAAGAGGATGTAGAGATTATCAGTGGCTACCATTTCCTGAATATAAGTCCTGACTTGCACTAATTGTAAAGTTCTGTAATTGCATATTTTCCCGTGGTGTGATTCTTGGTGGCAGAGTGCATGCTTTATATTTTATGGTCACAGCATTTTCTCATGCAGTTCCCTCTTTTTAAGTGCATAACAGTGTCTTGCTGAAGATTTTGCTACTTTTCACAACTAAATGATGATTTTCTTTGTTGAAAATTTCAATATCTTCTATAGTATTTACATGGCTTGGGCCCCACTTTCTGAGCAAAATTTTTTCATAGAGGCTTTGTAGTACCTTATGATTATGCATACCTCCCAGTTCTTTTCCTTTTATGTTTGAAACTTAATATGGAAACAAAATTGATATTTGCAGATAAAACAAGAAATTCACACAGTTCCTGCTCAAATAAAAGTTGCAATAAATTAATACCATGATTGGTATCACATGAGATAAGCACTTAAAGATCTTTTCATATTGTCATTTACTGGCTGGAAAACTGAAAATCTTGAAAAATTAAGGATCTGACAGAATTTGTGATACTTAATGTGCAACAATGAGAACAAGAACTTTTATAACCTAAGATCAGCTTTGTTGACATACTCGTTGCCAGCATATTTTGCTGTATATGAGAATGCTAACAGACTCGATGAAAGGGAACCAGAATGTGTTACATCACGAACAGCGTTTTGTAGTTGTTTTTTTAACCTGTTTATTATTATGTGCTTAGTGAATAAAAGTTAATGTGAGAATTAATTGAAAGACCAAGTAACTTTGTAAAACTTTCTGAAGAATTATTAAGAGTTAGAATTGTTATTTTCATAACTTTTATGTATTTTGTTGTTGTTGTTGTTACACTTGGCATAATATATAGATTATTATGATTCTTCAAAGTTAAAGATCACATTTTGATTCTGTTATTCAGAAATAATGAGTCAGTTTTAAGGATTATAGCCATGTAATTTATGCATACGTACACAAAAGAAAGTATTGTAGGTATACTTCCGAATAAGTATACTAAAATAAATAAATTGCTTTAACTGCTTGGAAAAAGGCTCCAAAGATATTAATTGTTCTATTCATGATACTGTTCCCTCAAAACAATAGTGAAACCATAAGTAATGCTAGGGAAGAAATATGTACTTATAACAAGTACTTATGAAGGCCCTGTCAGTAGTTTTACTGAGGATACAATTATTGGTATTTCCCAGTGTACATATTAAGAAGTGGACGACAGTTAAAGGAAATAATATTGCTGTTACTTCCCAATTCTGTAAATATATATATTTGAAATTTGAAGTTGATAGAATGGTTTGGAAGTTGGCTAAGCACAATTACTAAACTTAAATATAATAGAGTTCATAACTGCATAGGTTGTTTGTTCATTCTAAGACATTTATAGTTCTGGATTCCAAATAGAAGATGAAATAAAATCTGTTCATGAAGTGATGGAAATTAAATAATGAATCGAAAGAAGAATGGAGGGTGAAAGTAAACATTAATATAAATCAAGATCTGTTTAAGGTTTGCTCATGTAAATTTACAGAAGAAAGGATGCTTTATAAACTTGCCAAATGAGTAAAGCGTTATTAACCACGACTCCTCTTTCACAAGCTAAACTTCTCTGCTTAGTGGAGACGCAGGATTCTTACTGTAACACATTTGGTCCTAAGGGTTATGATGATGGTGCAGGAAACAAGCAAGACTTGTTGGCGACCGTATATTGTCGATGATGACAGGTGCCCCCGCCGCTGCACTCTGCTTACCGCCACCCCCCTCACTAACGGGTCACTGTCTTTTCTTGGGCCCGCTCTCTCACAGGCCGGTGTTTTCCAGGACACAGGAAACTTTAGCATTTTCCCCGGTCAAGGCCATTGGACTGCCAGAGAGGAGGTCAGATTGCTGGACGCCATTGAGCAGTATGGGTACGGTAACTGGGAGGACATTGCGCGCCATATCGAGACTCGCACTCCGGATGGTACGTTTGCATAATTTTTGCTTTGATCTGGGTTTCAAAAGGTGGTGAGTGAGCACTGTCTTTGAAAGTGTTATGTTGTAAAGCCTCTGTATGAGGTGGCTTTATTTTTCTTTCTTTCTTTCTTTTTTTCTTTAATTTTCTTTTGTCTTTTTTTGTCCTTATAACTGAAGTTATAATAGGTCACATCAGGTGAGGTGGATATTGACAATCATTGAAGCTGAACTTATCTTGTGGAATTAACCAAATCATTGTTTTATAAGGAATATCTTTAGCTGATTATTTTAAAAAAAATATATTATAAATTCTTTCAGAAGTATATAACCCTTTGAAAAATTTATATTGTATTCAGTTTTTTTAAGTGTTTTTGGTCCTCAAGAGGTTTATTCTTTTTATTTGTTATATAGATTTTTTTTCAGTTCATAATAAGTAGTCAGAATATGTTTACAAATGCAAATATTTAATGACTGAATTATCTGTGGTCTAATGTTACTGAGGAGAGTATGTAGAGCAGAATCAACCATTCAGATTCCATATTGGTGTAGATGCAATTGTTCATAACAAAAACAAGTCCATGAATTACTTTTTACGGACGAGATACCACCTTTTAATTTCTTTCTTTTTTTTATTAATTAAATTATTTTTCTTGGGGCAGCATGTTCATAGACAGATGAATATACAGATGAATATAACAGTTGTAAGATATTTACCTTCAATATATTTTTTGTACTCTGATGAATTAGAACATTGACATTTTTTGTGAGAAAAATCACTTACAGAAATGAATGCATTTTTTAAAACAACAAATAGGATCTCATGGCAGAATTTCAGTTAATCGAAGCAAAAAGGAAAGGCCTCTACACTGATGTTATTGTTAGCTGAATGAAAAATATTGCACAATTCACTTTATCTTTTCTGGAAACCAACAGAGGCAAGAAATAAGTACATCAGCAGTTACATAGATGGCGCTATTGGGCGAGCCTCCTGGAAGCCAGCGTTAGAAAGATTGCAGCTCCCCATTGAGCACACAGTCCCTGACACAGGACCACTCTCGCCTACTCTAGGGTCTTCACTACCCTCCCAGCCACCCTCCACCGAGGAGAACACCATACTTGGATACATGCCACACAGAGATGATTTTGAGAGGGTGAGTTCGGTTGTTTAGTGTATTTTGAGGGAAACTTGGGTATTTGTGCATTGTTTTTTTGTATGTTGACTTGTATAAAGATATGTAAATTTTTTTTTTATTAATATATCAAGTGAAATGTAAGTAGGTTTTATAACCAGTGTTAAGACTTTAAAAGAAAAAGACTTAACCCATTCGCGCTGGGTAAAAATGAACAAAAAATGGGGAAAATGCTGTGCTCATTTTTTATATTTTTTAATGAAATTTCTCTACACTAGATGGCTCTGCCTTACCTGATTTCACCTTTATTTGAATTGGCAGGAAAATGTATTTTTACTAGTGTTATGAATATCGATGGTTATTGTTATTATAAACATTATAATTACTATAATGTTATAAACATTAGTAACAGCAAAATAAGATAACGCAAAAGAATTTCGTAAATTAAAGAAAAGGGTAAACAGGCGAGACATGCAGTACAAGTACAAGTGGAGCCATCTATGTGTAAAAACAATCAAACAAGTAAACTCGCAGTGGGCATGTCACGTATACGTGACACCCGGCACGAATGGGCTAAGAGATCAAATATGCATTGTGCTCATGTAATTTTGTTGTTTAAGTTTTTATATTTTATAGAAAATTGTAATGATATATTCATTATTATTTACACAGGAATGGGATAATGATGCAGAAACAACGATAGCACCATTATTCATTCACCCAGTTGATGATGAAGATGTGGATATGGCTCTCAAACTTGCACAGGTAAGTATTATCAAGTGAAAGTTCAGATGTATAATTTGTTGTGATTATAGGTTTATCAGTAGAGAGGAATGCAGATATTGGGATAATTTTGTAAGTCGACAGTTTATCAAGTTAAAGCATTGATCAAACTTGAAATCAGGGAGATTAAATGGCCATCTCTCAAAAGTGTATTGTTGTATATTTGATTTTTATATAAATATCCGCTATTTCAGGTTGATATGTACATGCGCCGTCTTCGTGAAAGATCGAGAAGAAAAAGGGTAGTTAGAGATTTCCAGGTTGTTCCACAATTCTTCAAGAAGGAAAGAGAAAAAGCCCAAGTTCCACCAAAAAAGAAAAGCAAAGATGATAAGTAAGGATTGCATCTACTTATGGGATTTTGGGGTTTATTGTAACTTACTGTTTAGTGTTAAAAAAAGTTTGAACACACTGGGATCTGAAAAGAAGGTTTGTCAATATATATCCGTATATAAATTGGGAAACTAGATTGTCTTTTGGTATGTCTGGAAGTTAATCATACTTTACCAGCTTCCTAAACCCATTGGATCCAGGTGACCTGACTGACATGTCAAGAAAGAATTTGCTGAGGGCTATGTGAGGGGAATATAGCTTCATTGAAAAATTTGGCTGAGGGCCATGGTGATAGGAATGTGCCATTGTGAAAAACTTGGCTGAAGGCCATGGTGACGAGAATGTGCACAAAGCTCTTGGAAGAAGATTATACAGGTGGGATTCGGGATCCAATTCTTACCTGTTGTGTCAGGTGGTTCAGGTTGTGTCACAGAAAATTGAATAATAGGGGGGGAGGGGAATACAATTAAGAAAATGTTATTTATTGTTATTGTTATTGAACAGAGTTGTATGACTACCTAGATATATGATAAGGAATCATTTATTACCGTGTTGATACAGCATATCATAGACAAATATAGACCTTGGAAAATGGCAAAAAAACAAAAATGCTTACTCAAGAAGAGATAGTAACCTGCAAAGGTAGTCAAGGAGCCTTGACACTGCACACAAGTGTTCATGAGGGCCATGCCTAAAAGCCACACACCAGGATGTATTGCGACTTTTATAAGCCTAATACCCTGATCTTTGGCCAGGTGCGAGCAGTGAGGCACCTAGATCCAATGGGTGGAGGTGCTAGTTTTTGTGGAGTGGAAATTGATGTTACTGAAAACTTGGTTTGGATAAAGGCTAAGTATGGGGCAACAGGGAGATATAAATAGCTAAGAATACTAAAGAGAAATAATGAAGTATGAGAATAACCTGTTTAAGAATAAAAACGAATACAAACATTCTGTTACTGTTAAACTTATTAGAGTTGGATTACATTAGTTTTTTTTTTTATAGTGTGTTTAATTCTTAATGATGGTACAGTTATTGGTTTTCTTTGGTATTCTTTACTGTCACATTAACCCATTGGATCTGGTTGCACTCCTAGCAACCAAATCACCAAAAATCCAGGCATTAGGCCTACAAGCCACTGCTTGTAGGCCGGGTGCATGCAAATGTGTGCACAGTGTTAAGACTCTATACCTCCTATTTGCAAAGCTATTTATAAAAATTTTCTAAAATACAACCTTGTCGCCATTCACGGTGCGAGGAATACGATGCTGAACGTGGAAATTGTGTCCTCCATGAAGCCAACACTCTTCCAGTCACCATTTATGGCCATTTCATTCCACACTCATACATCGATAAGAATAATGCAAAATCACCAAATGAGTAAAATAAACCTTTCAGTCGGTCTTTTCTATCACCCTGGCTTTCAGCTGAAACGCCTACGATGGCAGGTTTGCGTCACCTGGCCTACAGTCAGATTTTCCCGTGATGACATGTTTATGTCAACCCTCTCCCCCCCTCCAACTGGGATTTTTTCATGAGGTGATGGTCATGCCACCCAGATCCAAGAGGTTAATTCTAAAGAAATAGAAGCAGTGGATAATGTTTTATGTGTTTTCATCTTTTCAGAGAGGCAGTAGCAGAAAAACTTAGAACAATTAGCCAGTTTCAGACAGCAAGTGAACACAATAATCTTATAAACTCCATTGTCCGAGAGAGAGAGTTAAGAACAAGGATAAGAGAGTTACTAAGGTAAGAGTTTGGGGACCTATGGTGGATGGTTTGGGATTCTGAGGCATTATGTAAATGCTTATAAATAGGTTACGTGACCTACCTTTTATTAACCCAGTGCTGATGGGCATGGCATGTACATACATGCCATGCCCACTGTAAGTTTACTTGTTTAATTGTTTTTACACATAGATGGCTGCACTTGTACTAAGTCTCCAATGAGCCAATTACGAGTACTGCCTGTCTTGCCTGTTTACCCTTTTCCTTGATTAACGAAAATATTTTACGTTATCTTATTTTGCTGTTACTAATGTTTATATCATTGTAGTAATTATAATGTTTATGATACAAATAACACCATTGATGTTCAT